AGCTCTTGCACAAACGATACATCATTTTCTCTCAAACTGTGTTTCAGTCATTATTTTATAACTCCACAATGAAATGTGATGTCACAAGAGCTGCTTATGGCTTTACTCTGATTAGATATGCTTCTATTTGCCCATGTCTGTATTTGCCCAAGTTTGAACCCATGTCAGGTTTGCATTGAGAAACTTAACACTTTACATCTGGACCTGGAATGATTCATCTCCACAAAAGCCTCTGGCTGCGAAGACACGAGGTTGGAATAATCCATCTTTCTCTTATTAGCTGTTGGAAGAAATATTCTTCTAGATTCGGTTCCAAGTGTGGAAAAAGACACTGGAATCATGGAAGTTGCTTGGAAAGGTTTATTGATGAACAGAGTCACACGTGTTGGAGCTCTTGGGTGAAGAGAAAGGGAAGGGATGCTGAGAGTCCCTGGGTTTTATGCCCCCTCTGGGCTTTGAATTTGAGCTTATGTTCTGATTGGTTGCCAGACTCCCATGGGGCCATGTGGGGGTAACTTGGTAGGTTGTCTTTTGAGTCCCAGGCTTGGTTGACTCTTGCTGGGTGATGATGTAATGAAAGGGCTTTGGGCTATTATGGGTCTGCTTGAAGGAGGTAGATCTTTGTTATGTAGAATAAACTGGCCCAGGCCTTAATGTCCCATTAACAAAGGTGCGGGGTTGAGTTTCTACTTCTCTTTTAGGGGAAATATTCTGCCGTTTTAATATATCCTAAAATATTTCATTTTTCTAGGAGAGGGGTGGGTTCTAACTTCCAACATGGCAAAGTAGAACCCGGCCGAAAATATGGCAGGAGAGACACCCCCTTCCCACTTTCTTTTAAAGAATAGCCAGCCAGCTCGGGCTAGAAGAGCAGAGACATGTCTATCAGAATTTGGACTCTTGAACATAGCACCCTTCTTGAAGTTGGCCTCAAAATTGGCTGGGAGATAAATCAGGCATCTGTGGGAAGGGCCAAAAAAGGTGAAGATGGTGACCATGATCCATACAATCTAAGCCCCACCCCTTTTGCATGTTCAAAAGGAGGTAGGGCTTTAATCACATGGTTGTGGCCATCATGTGACCCTCCACATCAGGGCTGACCAATCTGAAGCAGCAGTTCCTTTAACTCAAGTGTTTTCTAACCTCAGCCATTTTAAGATGTGTGAACCTCAATTCCCAGAATACCCCAGCTGAGGTATTCTGGGAGTTGAAGTCCATGCTTCTTAAAATGACTGATTGGGAAACACTGGTTTAACTGGTTAAAATATTAATGCGTTATCGCTTTGTAACTGATTTAAAGAGCTTCAGATAAACCTCAAAATAGGCTTAGCATAAGGAATAAAGGGAAAAAATACTTCCCACTTAAACCACACTTTTACTCACTAACTGCACCCCCTTTGCTATCAGGTTTGTCCCTCTTCCCTTAAAAGCTTTGAAATAGATTGCCTTAATGTCCTGCAGGTAGTTTGAAATGACATTTCCTAGACTGGCAACCAACATGGCTTAGACCGGCAGTCCTTGACTTACGACCACAATTGAGGCCAAATTTTTTGTTCCTAAGCAAGGCAGTTAAGTGAGTTTTGCCCCATTTTATCTTTTTTTGTCACAGTTGGGATGGTTACAAATGGTGATCGCCTGACTCTGGGACAATGCAACTGTCATAAATGCCAGTTGCCAAGAACCTGAAGTTTTGGATTATGGGACCATGGCGATATTACAATGGCAGTTAAGTTTGGAAACGGGTCACTTTTTGCAATGCCATTGTAATTTCAAACGGTCACTAAATGGTTGTAAGTTGCCTACTTGTAGACCCGTAGTACATCAGTGAGGGAAGGGTAAATCTAGGGTAACAATCTCAAAGGTGTTTTTTTTTCAAGGGGCAACTGGACTGTCTGGTTTTTCTTTGAAGATGTTTTGCTTCTCATACAAGAAGCTTCTTCAGCTCTGACTGGATGGTGGGGAATGGAAGGATTTATATTCCTTGCAGACAGCTGGTCATTTGCATTCTTTTAGCAAGACATTAAGGCCACCTGGAGGTTTATCTGGATCCTGGGGGTCACCCAAGTGGTGCAAATTGGTGTGGAGACTTCTGGGAACTGCTGGAAGGATTGTGTTGTACAATGGAGATGTCATATCCATCCCCCTCTGTTGAGAAAGGGCTGTTCAATTTTGACATTGGTGGCTTCTTTAACCCCCTTCAAACCAGCAGTCCTATCTGTCCAAAATGTGGACTTTGCTGTTTCAGGTTAATAAGTTGGCTAAGAAAATTGAGGGGATTTTAAGGGTCAAAGCTAGCCATGCAGAATCTGGCCTAAAATTCATGTTACATAGTTGTTAGATTATTAATTTTTAAGGTGATAATTAAAGTCAAATCATTGGGAATTAAAGAGTTAATTAAATGAAGGAAAAAGGGGTGGTATACTCATTGTGGGGGAAAATTTTTGAACTGGGATGGAATTTTTGAAATGAAATAATATGCGATGAAATTACAAACCTGACAGATAAAAGTATAAAGAACACGAAGATGTAAGAATTATTTAAAGTTAAAAGAAATAGGTCAAGAAATCAGAAAATATGTTTGAGAAAAACATTTGAGAAAATTTATAGAAAATATATGATAGGATATCAAATTAAATGTGAATGAATATGTGACCAAGGTCATGTTTGTATGAAAATGTGAAAACCTGGAATCATGCTGTTCACTAAAAAAGATGCTTTTGAAATGTGCAAAAAATAAAATAAAATAAGCTAGCTTCTGCATTTATCTGCAGGATAATTTCCTGGACTCCTGCAGGATTTTCCAATGCAAAATGGAAAGAGGACCACCCAAATGTTATCCTTCCCAGCATGGTGACCTTCAGATGTAATTTCCAACCAGAATCAACTCACCTGGCTAATGAAACTAGGATGACCAAAATAAGGCAGAAACAGGGTGAGTTTTCCTGGCCCCAGACAGCATGGGTTGCGTTCACTAGTTAATGCTTACCCAAAACAAATGAAATTCCAGTCCAGGTGCTGTACAATACTGAATCCCACAACACGTGGGCACGTGCTCCTCCACACAAACCAAACTCAATTCTGTATTGCAGAGAAAATCAGAATCTTACTTCCACCCAATCCTTGACACCTTGATACCTCATGTCACCATGCTGGCTGGGGAATACTGCAGCGTTGAAGCCTACATACCCTAAACTTGCCAAGTTTGAAAAAAAAAACTGATCTGAAGTGAGAAGCTACATTCAAACTACCTAAGTACTGTTACAGTTACAGCTCTGGAGAAAACTCAGTGTGAACCTGGATTGGCTCAGGAAGACAGCAAGCAATACAGCAGCTGTTCTCAATCGTGGCAACTTTTAAGATGCCTCGACTCTCAGAATTCCATACCAACCAGTGGGCTGCTTGGGGAATTCTGGGAGTTAAAAGTTTTAAAAGCATTTTAAAAGTTGAGAAACACCGCAATACAGTACAGGTAGTCCTCAACATATGACAACTGAGCCCAAAATTTATATTGCTAAGTGGGAAATTTGATAGGTGAGTTTTGTCCCATTGTACAATTTTCTTCTTGCCACATTTACTAAGTGAATCACTGCAGTTGTTAAATTAGCAATATCGTTGTTAAGTGAATCTGGCTTCCCCACTGACTTTGCTTGTCAGAAGTTCACAAAAGGCGATCACATGACCCCAGAACCTTGCAACCGCCATTAATATAAATCCGCTGTCAAGCATCGACTATAAATCACGTGTCCACGGGGATGCTGCAACGGTTGTGTGAAAAACGGGCATGTCACTTTTTTCAGTGCCACTGTAACTTTGAATGGTCACTCAATGAACTGTTGTAAGTCAAGGACTAACTGTATGCCCCTCTTAATTCTTCCATTATTTCAGCTAGAAATGCAGCTGCCTCTGGATTGCCAGTGAAAACAGATCACCTTTTTGCAGGCACTTTTTTCTTCAGCTCTGTTGAGTGACGACAGCACATGGAAAAGATACTTTTCTGCGGGTGTGAATATGCTAACGTCTCAATGAAACCCGGCTTATTGACTCTAATTACCCATCTCGCCCCAAACAAAATCCAGAAAACGGCTGCAGAAAACAAACCTTTTATAATGAACTGACACTGGAAATGATGCAACTCACGCTTTACTTGATAACCTGTAGCAAATTGCAATGCTCCCAATAAAACAGCTAGTCATAATAAAATGTCCATGCAAGATTCCCGACTGACAAAGTTTTCATTTAAACAGACTTCATACAATCTATTATTTTAGGGTCCTTACATATTATTTAAAAAAAAAAAATCCAAACTTTTCTGACTTTATACTCAGCATTTCTTATTCACCGTTACCACCGGGATTTTCCACTTTATTTAAAAAAAAAAAAACTTAATAAGAGAATTCTGCTTTTTGCATTTCGGTATTTGGTATAACACTGTGACTTCCCACTTCTTGGGGCTTCAAATCTTCACAGCTCCTCAAGCAAGCATAACTGATAATGGTAGGGACATCGTCCAAGGAAGTTAACTTTTCGCGTTTGTCTGCAAAACTTCTACTTGCAACCAAGATCTCTCCTGTTTAAGACAAGGCCTGCATCTTCCTTGCAGCTCCAATAACTTGAGATTCCTTCTTCCCTATACAGTGTAACGTGGCAGTGGTACCAGGAGGCAAGAGACAGAGGGTGTCAATGACCTTCTGAATTACTTTCACCAACGGCAAAACAATGGCTTTCAATTTAAAACATGTTCTAAAACGTACAGAAAACTGTTTTTGTATTATTGACTACAGATCCCAAAACGCGAATTCCTAATATTTGGAAGATTTAGAATAGATCTGCCCCTTGAATGTCTTCTTGGCGATGCAAAGTGCATTGGAAAAACAACATGTATTTCATCCGTTTTTCATTCACTGCACAAACCAGTAGTATTTTCATTATGAAAAACAAGACTATATAACCTTCTCACCCACACTTCTTAAAATAATTGTCCCGTGTCTTTTTTTTTTTTCTTTCTTTATATACGTACACTGCAGAAGAGAAATTATTTCAACACAAAAATCTGCTTTTTACAATGTGAAAACAATGTTAAGAAACGTAAGACAGCTCGCATTTATCGTTGCCATCACTCCAAACTGTAGGGCCATGGACGCTCTTTTATCACTTTTTCCAGCATCCAAGTTCTCAGTCAAGTCCACTCATTCAAAATAAACGGAGCCTCTTTATTACAGGCTCTTTGTGGCACGGATGTTCATTTCTGGAGTGAAGTTATCTGAATGATTCGAGATTGGAAAGGCAGAGTACATTCAAAAATCTGTTTCTGAGGTAGCTATAGTCACCGGGTATAGAAAGAACCTGGGAATCTTAAAGGTGGATATTTCAACCCAGACCTGTTCCAAAAGACCTCCAAAACCCTCGTCCCCGTTTCTTCACCCACAAGTGACAAAGACACCTTAACATTTCTGGTCGAGCGGATTTGCTTCCTTAAGGTCCTTTGGCGGATTCTTTTTGTAATGCAACTCCAAATGTTTTTTAAGGGACCACTTGCTGATGTAACTTTTATCGCACACGGCACATTTATACGGCCTCTCCCCGGTGTGGGTTCTCTGATGGTACCGAAGGATGGTGCTGGTGGTCACCCTTCGGCCGCAATAAGAACAGCAGAATGGCTTTTCCCCTTTGTGGGTCTTCTGATGCTTATCGAGCGAGCATTTCGTCTTAAAGTATTTCCCACATTCGCCACACTGGTGAGGCCTCTGATCCGAATGGGTCACCTGATGTTTCTCCAGGTCTTTAGTAGTGCGGAAACTTTTCTCACACCTTGGACACGGATAGGGCCTCTCGGGAAAGTGGACTTTCTGATGTCTTGTCAGGGAATATTTATCTCTAAAGGACTTCCCACAATTAGGGCAGCTATATTTCTTTTCCTGCGGGACCACCATCCCTTGTGGACCAACCCCGGGCAACTTACCCAGGAAACACCAATCAGGGTCTTTAATGGCACGGTTTCCCGAGTGGCCTAAGGAGGTGTCCCCATTTTCAGGGGACCCCAGGGGACCTTCCTCCGTTGGGATTCCCTGTCCTGGGTACACCGAACCATTGGTCCACTGCTGGGGCTCTACTTTTATAGGCCTGTCTTGACCTTTAACCCCCAATCCAACACTCCTGAAAGTCTGACTGTCTGACTGTTTAATAGCGCTTTCTTCTACACGGCTGCTTTGATGATCGGGGAGGAGCGAGCAGCTCGTATTCTCAGAGCCTTCCGGAGGTTTTCGTTCCTGGAGGACCTCCTGGCGTTGAGCGTGGTCCGAATGGGCCACCTGTTTGTCCACGCTGTCGTCGCTACCACTCGCTTGATCTTTGACTAAGTCATCCCCGGTCTCTTTCCCGCCAAGCAAGCTATCCGGATCCTCTTTCACGTGCATCTCCTGATGCCGCCAAAGGGAATATTTTGTTCCAAAGGCTTTCCTGCAAGTAGGGCATTGATAGGATCTGGTCTCGGTGTGGATGCGCTTGTGCCGGCTGAGGGAGTAGCTGGTTCGGAAGGCTTTCCAGCAGAAAGAGCACTTGTAAATCTGCCCTTCAACGTGTATTTCCCGGTGGTGGGTGAGGTTGTACCTGTAGGCGAAAGCTTTCCCGCAGATGTTGCAGATGTACGGCTTGCCTTCCTTGTGCAGTTGCTGATGTCGGCGGAGGGCCGATGGCGTCCTGAAGGCTTTCGTGCAGAAAGAGCACTTGTGCTGGTAGAGCTGGTCTTCCAGGTGGATTTCTTGATGATGAGCGAGGGTGTACCGGTAGACGAAGGCCTTCCCGCAGATGGTGCATTTGTAAGGCTTGCCTTTGATGTGGATCTGGTGGTGTCGGCCGAGGGTGCTTTTCGTTTTGAAGGCTTTCCCGCAGAAGGTGCATTTGTGCTGAAGGGTCTGTTCTCTGCTACGGGCTTTCGGGAAGTCCATGTAGAACCAGCTGTGGGCGGCATCCTTCCCCTTGCGGGCGTTCCTCCTGACCCGGCATTCCACGTGGATGCGCTGGTGCCTCCTGAGGTTATAATGAGTCGAGTAGTCTCGCCTGCAGCCTCGGCACTCGTAGCGGCTTTTCTTCTCCAGCATTGCCGGCTGGACAACGGGCGGCGTTTTTTCCCCAAGGCCCTCCCAATCCAAGGCGTTTTGAGAAGACGGCGCCTTTGGGTGGCTTCTCAGGTGGTCGGCAAAACCTTGGCTGTCTCTAAAGCTTTCCCCACATTCAGGGCACACCTGAAGCCTCTTTTCCTGGTCCCCTTTGGGCTGAGAGGCCAGCAGCGAACTTTTGCAAACAGGCTTCCCGCAGTCGAAGCAAGTGTTATCTTTCATTTCCACGTAGGTGATCTGGTTTTTAGTGAGCGGGCCGTCTTCCTTGGGGGCTTTTCCTTCGCCGCTTGGTTGCGGCCTGACGCACACACTCTGATGGTTAAGGAAAGCCTTCTCCTGCTTGTAAGACTTCCCACAGTGACCGCAGGTAAGGGGACGTTCCACCCCACCGTTTCCTTCGTACGTTGCGCAAGGCAGAGTTTCGGGGTTCAGATGAAGTCTCTTGTGTTTGATCGAGGAGGGTTTTTCCTTGCAGCTGTTTTCGCTGCCCAGACCGGGAAGGCAAAGGCTGTTGCCGTGGTTCTTTGCTTGGTGCTTCGCGAGGTCCTTCTCCTTCATAAAGCCTTTTCCACAGACAGGGCACTTGAAGACATGGTCCCCCGAGTGAGCGGCCATAAGATGCTTCACAAGGTTCCTGGTTTCTGCGAAGCTTTCCTCACAGGCAGGGCACGGGTGCGTCTTTTCACTGCTGTGCATCTTGTGATGCTCCGTCAGAAAGGCTTTCCGGGCGAAGTTTTGCCCGCACTCGCGACACTCCCAGTTTTTCTTTCCTGAACGGGGCCGTTTTTTATGCATGCTCTCCTTATGTAAAACCAGGCTGGTTTTCGCCAGGAAGCACTTGCCACAGATGGAGCACCGAAAAGGCTTGTCTCCGCTGTGGACTTTGAAATGTCTGAGGAGGGACGATCTCCTCCCAAAGCTTTTCCCACACACGGTGCATTCGTTCTGGCTCTCTTCGGTATTCATGCCTTGCTGGCTATTGCTGCCTTTCTTTTTCCCACCAGCGCAATTAACTCTGGGGCGAGAGTCCTGCAGGCGGCCGTGCTGAATCTTGCAAGCTTTCCCCTGCCGCTGGACATTCTCCCATTGGCCTAGCAACGCAGCACGAGGTTTCGCAATCCGCTGGTTCTCCCATGGAATGCTCTCCTCCTCTTCCTTCTCGCTTGCAACGTCGTCGTCTGCTGGGAGAAAAAAAAAAAGAAAACAGAAAAAGGATGTTTCCAGACAGGCCAAGTAGAGATGTCACCTGATCTCCATTTAAGGCGGAGAGTAGAGTTGAGTTTGGTTGGCTCGCTTGGTGGCGCGGTGGTTACAATGCAGTATTGCAGGCTCATTCTGCTGACTGCCAAGCAGTTCGAATTTCGCCAGGCTCAAGGCTGACTCAGCCTTCCCTCCTTCCGAGGTGGGTAAAATGAGGAGCCAGATTGTTGGGGGCAATAGGCTGACTCTGTAAACTGCTTAGAGAGGGCTGTAAAAGCACCGTGAAGCAGTATATAAGTCTAAGTGCTGTTGCTATTGGAATCCTTGCAGGGGAGGAAGCAACGGAGACCTGACAGTCTCCCCGACCCCCACTTGCAAAATCTCTGGAGGTCATATCTGGCTGTTTCCAAGAGAGCGCGATTAGTCTGACGAAATTAATGTCCGGTGCAAGGAACCAGAACGACATGGCGAGCCGATCTGTTCTTTTACTGCTACTTCCCTATTTACAAGTGATCCTCGGCTTACAAGCACATTTGAGCCCAAAATTTCTCTTGTTAAAATGAGTGTTTGCCTCACTTTGCCACCTTTCTTGCCACAGTTGTTAAGTGAATCACCACAGTCATTAAGTTAGTAACACAGGTTGTAAAGTGAATTTGCCTTCCCTACTGACTTCGCTTGACAGGAGGTCACAAAAGGGTATCACATGACCCTGGGACACTGCAACAGTCGTAAGTACATGCCAGTTGCCAACCATCCGAATTTTGAACATGTGACTCTGGGGATGCTGCAACAGTTGTGTGAAAAACGGTCATAAGTTACCTTTTTTTAGTGCCATTGTAACTTTGAACGGTCACTAAACGAACTGTTGTTCAGAACTACCTGTACAAAAATCTCACCAGACTACCTGCATGCTCTTGGGAACAACCAAATAAGGAATTCCTCCTTTCTGCCTTCCCTGCAGGGATACCAAGCTAATCAGCCTCTCAACTTCAAGCACCACCACACCCCATTCTGGAGATTTCACCACACCACCAAAACCATGGATTGGGACACGTTCCAGATTGTAAAATGAAATCAGGCTTCAGCTTTGAATTTAGAAAAAAAAAAGAGCCATTAAACCAGGGGTGTCAAACTCAAGCCCGGAGCGGGGGTGGGCAGATCCGGCCCACGGGGTGCTTAGATCTGGCCTGTGGGGTCGTCCTGGAAACAGCGAAGGACCTGCCCAGAATGCCTCTGCAAGCAAGAACAGAGCTTGGGAGGGCTGTGTGCAACTCTCCCAAGTTCCATTTTCCGTGCCAGTGGGTTGCAGGTGGTCACCAAAGCCGAAAACAGAGTTTGGGAGCCCATTTTCGCTAGCAAAGCGCTCGGGCTACCACAGGCACCCCCCCGACATGAGTGACATCGAGCTGGCCATGCCCCCCCCGGCCCCCCAAGGTCCAACACAACCCTGATGCGGCCCTCAATGAAACTGAGTTTGACACCCCTGAGCTAGACAAAATTAAGATTCCTGCTATGAGAATTTTTCTTATCTTTTAACAGCCACATTCCAGGTTATTCAGCCATATCAATCCTGTCGCTTAAAGACAGGAATTTTAGATTAATTTAATAGATGTCTAGTTTCCAAAAACCAAAAGAGAAAACAAATGAACTGGACCTTAGTTCCAGTGCATTTAGTAGTGTGCGCTACTATTACTGTTAATCTTCTCATCACTCCTTATCACCCATCCCCTCCCACTTGTGATTGTAGGACTGTAACTTTGTTGCTTGTATCCTTACGATTTATATGGACTGTTTCCTAGTATGATTTGATTGTTGATTGTACCCTATGACTATCATTAAGTGTTGAACGTTATGATTCTTGATTCTTAACAAATGTATCTTTTCTTTATGTATACTGAGCGTATTTACACCAAAACAAATTCCTTGTGTGTCCAATCACACTTGGCCAATAAAGTATTCTATTCTATTCTAAAGTTAAGTAGTATTTATTATATTTTTATCCAGTCTTTATTATTTTTATAAATAATTCAAGGCAGAGAATATAGCTAACACTCTTTCCTCCTCCTCCTCCTCCTCCTCTTTTACCCACAACAACCTTGTGAGGTGAGTTGGACTGAAAGTCACAGCCCAAAGTCACCAAGCCAGTTTTCACAGCTAAGTCATGACCAGAATTTAAACCATCTTCTAGTTTCTAGGCCGCTACCTTAACTACTGTACAATAATCCTTGACATACAACCATTCATTTTAGTGACCCATTCAAAGTAACAACAGCACCACTGAAAAGTGACTCACGGCCGTTTTTCACATTCATGTTCGTTGCAGGATCCTCAATGTCAATTTTGTGATGTCCTAACAAACAAGGTCAATGGGACAGCCAGATTCACTTAATGATGTCATTAACTGCAGTGATTCATGTAACAACTGTGGCAAGAAATATCGTAAAATGGGAAAATAACAACTGTTTTGCTCAGTGGTAGAAATTTTCAATTCAATTGTGGTTGGAAGTTAAGGATTAACCTTTCTGCAATATCTATCACCACTTTCATGTAGTAGGTAGGGATCTGTAGATGAAGCTATTTTTAAGGACAGAATATGTCTGAAGCTATAAAGGTGCCCCCATGTGGATGCCAAGATTTTAGGACGGGGTCTCCAAACTTGGCAATTTTAAACCTTGTGGACTTCAACTCCCAGAATTCTAGGAGTTGAAGTCCACAAGTCTTAAAGTTGCCAAGTTTGGAGACCTCTGATTTAGGGGTAACCCCGACCTGAACTCGATGAATCTGAAGTGGGCACGCTCACGGGACTCCGGTAGGAATTCCACCAGTTTCCTGCTTCTGGCCATTTCTTAAGGGCTTCTTTAACCAGTTTTTGATCAGCACCATTGCTGGAGCTCTGAAGACCTTCCTGTCCTCGTTTCAGATGCGCCAGGAGTTCAGATTTTTGAAGCTGAAGAGGAGAAGCTGGAAGAGAGAGGGAAAGCGAAGAAGCAGGTGAGTGAAGTATATATTTTTCTGCTGCAGAAAAGGTATAAACAAACAGGGGCATCCATGCAAGCAAGACGAAAAGATGGCAATAGAAGCATCATTTTTTACATTATTTGCTTCATATCAGGGGGGCGCGGCGGCTCAACAGTTGAAGACATTGAGCTTGTCAGCTGGAAAGCTGACAGCCTGGGTTTGAGACCCGAGCACCACGTGATGAGGTGAGAGTTCCCGTTCCTTGTTCCAGCTCCTGCCCATCTAGCAGTTCAAAATCATGCAAATGCGAGTAGATAAATAGGTACCACTTTGGCGGGAAGGTTGACAGTGTTCCATGTATGTGCATTTGGCATATAGCCATGCTGACCACAGAAAATGTCTTCAGACAACGCTGGTTCTCTCACAATCAAGAAACGGAAATGACTGATAGGGAAACTTTTACACCTTTGCTTTATATCCCACCTTTTCTCCACCTCTAAAGAGTTCAAGGCAATACGCATCACACAGCACTTCATTTTCATCTCTACAACAATCCTAGATTGAGAAAGTGTCACTATCTCAGTGAACTTCCATGGGAAAATAAAAACTTGAACCTGGCTCTCCCGCAACCCAGGCCAGCTGCCTGCACTTCCCACAATGTACTGGCTTTCAGTCTCCTACCAATCCAAGGTAGGGGCAAAAGAATGCTTCTATTTCTCTCTGGCCAACATGGAAGACGACAAATGCGGAAAGATATACTGTACATACATGCAGTTCTATAGACATCAGAAAGAATGACTCCATTAAATGTTGTTACTCAGCAAAACAAGTTTAAGAATGTAAATTTTCCCTTTCTAGTATTTTCTTATATGCAAATGACTGCATATTTTCAAAACTCACCCAATCAACTGACAGAAGGCCCTCAATTATATTGGAATGACAATTACTCCCCCCACCCTCAAATATAGGTAGTCCTTGCCTTTTGGCCACAACTGAGCCCAAATGAGTTTTACCCCATGTTACGACCTTTGTTGCAAAGTTATTAAGTGAATCACTGCAGTTGTTAAAGGTAGTAACATGGCCTCGGGACATCGCAACCGTCATAAGTATGAACCAGTTGTCAAGCATCCGAATTTTGATCATGTGACCATAGGTTGTCAGCTTTGGCAGCCATACTGAGACCAGATGCCCCCATGCTGCCACATTTTGAGCCTGGGAAAGTGGGAGGGGGAAATTTCTTGGAGTTTATGTAGTTAGACATAACAACATCCTTTTTCTAATTCAAGGTCATGTTATTTTGCACATAAGTATGGGGAAGTCTTAAGTTGGGATGGATGGTGATTGGGACATGTAATGTGATGATGGGGATGCATTTGTAGTTACTTATTGCAAGGAAGCCCGGAATTTTCAGATTCGGGATTCCTCAGTTGTGCCAGTTACTATCCAAAATAAAAGGAACTTTTGAGAAGATGTCTGTCTCGGAGTTATTGGTTGGAGTGGAGGTTTGCTGGAATGCTGACAACAGTTGTGTGGAAATGGTCATAAGTTACTTTAGTCACTACACAAACTGTTGTAAGTCAAGGACTATCTCAGGGGTGTCAAATTCAATTTCAGAGGGCCGCATCAGGGTTGTTTGACCTGGGGGGGAGGGGGGGGCTTGGCGAGGCGGGGGGGCCGGCCAGCTCAACGTCACTTGTGTCAGGGGCGCCGGTGGTGGCCCAAGCACTCTGCCAGTGAAAACAGGCTCCCGAGCTCCGTTTTCGGCTGTGACAGCCTCCTGAAACCCTCTGCCGGCGAAAACAGAGCTTGGGAGGGCTGCCTTCCTGGGCTCCATTTTCACTGGCAGAGGCACCTTGGGTCCAGTACTTCACTGTTTCCTGGGTGGTCCCACAGGCCAGATATAAGCACCCCACTGGCTTAAATTTGACACCCCTGGACTATCTGAATGCACTGAGCTGCATTACACATTCCAGGCAATGAAACTAACTTGGCTAGCATGTATTTGGCTGCTGATAATTCAAATTTTTTGGCATATAGCAATATATGATTTGCCAAGAACCTCCGAGATCTAAAAAAATCCTAAATCGAGGCTAAAAAAATCCACTTAGATTAAGTTCTTAAATCTGAAACCACATTTTTCAAACAGGCGTAAGGCTATTTCTTAGGAAGACAAAGTAATTGAGTTTGCACAACGATCAAATCAAAATGATTTCTTAAAATGTATTTTATTCTGGCATTGGTATTTTATGACAACCTGGCAATTATAGCTTGAATACCATGCCTTAGGCTTAATGGTAACAGCGGTTCAGTTATAGTTTATTAAATAAATGTGATTTATCTCAATATCTGAACCTACCCAATGATTATTAACTCTTCTACAAACCCTGAGAGTTAGATTAATTGAATGTCATAAATTTTATTTTTTGGTCAAATTACTTAAGGAGGTAAACACATTCCCCAATTAAATTTAACTCTGATGGTCTCATGAGCAACCTCTCTGGTTTTCTTTGCTAAGATATTCAAATGCAAAGCCAGTTTATGGTGCTACAAACAACAAAAAGAACAGGTAAGAGCCATCTCACCTCTGAAGATGGTGTTATAACTCTCTTTCATCACTTCTCTGTAGAGTCTTTCTTGATCAGAGCCTAAGAGATCCTGCTGGATCTAAATAAAGGAAAGGGGAAAAATAGCAGTTTGCAAAGGTCTAGAGCAAGGGAAAGTCATCTTCCCTCTAGCCATTCACCCAACAGCGCTCCAGTGAACATATATCTTCATCTATTGGTTAAAAATACATCACAACCCTAGCAAACTAACCCATCTAATAGAGTATTGAAAGACAACTAATCTTCCTGAGAAATAGCAAAAAAAAAACCAAAAAATAAAAAAAATAAGCATCTATGGTTTTTCCAGTGATGCCATTTTAATCTTAGATCAAGCTAGTTCACTATTAAAGGATTTTAGATATAGGTCAAACAGAAATTGCTGCTTCCTCTCACAATATAATTGTAAATAATCAGATCTTAGTATCAAAACCAGCTGCATAATTATGTCATATCACAATCCCCAAATTTAGAAGAGCCTTATTTTCAGTTTGATTTAATGAAAAGAAATATAGGAAAACCCCATATAAACCTACTAAAATCCCAGTGATATGACCTCCATAGAAAAAACAATCATTTTGTATTATGTAATTCATTCATCCATTCATATCTTTTGTTTTTTTTACAAATAACTCAAGGAGTGAACATACCAAATCCTATTTTCCCCTCAACAACAACCCTGTGAGGTGAATTGGGCTGAGAGTTGTGTGACTGGCCTGGGGTCAGCCAGCTGGCTTTCATGGCTAAGGTGGGAATTGAACTCATGATCTCCAATTTCTAACCTGGTGCATTAACCATTAGATCAAACTGGTTTGTAATCATTCTATAGGCCACCCAAGGTTAACTCTAATAGTGAGGTGGGTAGTATACAAATTTAATAAAAAAAACACAGTCTATGTACTGCAAAAGTTCTATAGGGACATTCACTACTATTTGTACTCCGATAGCTTTTATTTGCACTATGTGTTAAATAATCAAGATATATTTCATTTCTCTAAAAGTATCACAATTTGGATACATGCCTCAAAATGGTTGCTAACAGTTCTTGTTGTTAGGGGATAGTTTTGTGTTGTTCATTTTATTGACTGTATTTTTATTGGTCAGTGACCAAAATAAAGTTCTCTCTCCATCTGTCTATATTTGTCACGGATTTACCTGTGCAGAATGTGCCTGGGCCATTTCCTTCTGAAGTAGCTGGTTGTCTTTGCAGGAAAAATATCTGGATGTTGGGGGAAAATAGTGCAGAGCTTTCATAAAAATGGCCTTCTAGACACCAAACTCCCCCCCCCCCCCCCGCACACACACACACACACGCTCTTTATACAGTAGGGCCAGTCCTTATCCTGCTTGTTACATTAAAAAAAAAAAAACTTAGATAAGAGAGGCATTATGTTGCTCCAGATGCCTCAATCTACATCTGAATCATCATCTCCTTTTTATGACCCCATAATCCCTTGCGGGGTGAAGTCTGGGCCAGGGGTCCCCAACCACCGGGCCCCGGATCGGTACCTGTCTGTGGAACATTTTCTACCAGGCCACCGGTTTGCTGGGCGCCGCCATCTTGTTTTGATGAGAAAGTGCTTCCGGTGAGCTTTTCTGGTTGGAAAGCGGCGTTTGGGTCCTGAAGGAATCCTTGCGCCTTAGTTTCATCGAAGGGGGGGTGGCTTCAAACAAAACTAAGGCACGAGGATTTTTTCAGCACCCAAGGCAAGGCGAGCCGAGCGACCGTCCCGAAGCCCATCGACAAAGGTACAAAGGAGGAGTTGAAGGTGGCAGGTAGAAGCGGGGGACGGCTGGCTGGCCGGTCGCTCGGCTCGCCTTGCCATGCGTGCTGCTGCCGGTACCGGGCCGCGGATCATTTTGTGATGCCGGTACCGGGCCGTGGCACAAAAAAGGTTGGGGGCCACTGGTCTGGGCAATTGAAGGGAGCTGAGTGTTTACTAGCCAGATGCCCTTCCTGTCACCAATGCAGAGTTATAGTAGATATATTCTCAACATGCCCAGAGAAATATCTGCCTCCACCTAGGATTGAACTCACAGCCTCCTGATTGTGAGGCAAGAGCTCCACCTCTAGGCCACCGCACCACTCTAACTCCATATCTGGATCCTCTCAGGAAATTCACCTTTCTTCCTCAAAAGGACAATAATCTGATTATATTGTGACCTCCACCTATTTTGGACTACAACTATCCCACCAATGGACCACCAGCCCTGCAGGAAAAAATGAGAGGCAAAAATGAAACTGGCAGGGTAAACCACTGTGTAAAAACATAGGCCCTACTCCCTTCCAGCACTGATGATGTTACCTAGTTGGGTAATGAAACATCTGCAAGAAAACCACCAAGCTCAGACAGCAACAAGGAACTCTCATGTCAACCCCGAGCTACAGATATTCTCTTCTATTTGAAAAATGAGAAAATCTGTGAAACACACATGAAAATACTGATAGTCCTTGACCTAGAACTATTTGTTTAGTGACCACCTGAAGTTACAACAGCACTGAAAACAGTGACTTATTAGTTTTCACTTACCACCATTGCAGCATCCCCATAGTCACTTGTTCAAAATTCAGTCCCTTGGCAACTGACATGTATTTATGACCGTTGTACTATCCCAAGGTCACTTAATCACTATTTGTAACCTTCCCAGCCGGGTTCCGGCAAGCAAAGTCAATGGGGGAAGCCAGATTCACTTAATGACTGCGTGATTCACTAAACAACCGCAGTGATTTGCTTTACATCAGTGGCAAATAGGTTTGCAAAATGGGGCGCAACTGCCTTGCTTAGCAACAGAAATGATGGGCTGAATTGTGATCGTAAATTAAGGACTACCTCTACATTAATTAATGGGCCATCTCCAAATTTGATATATAAAATAGATGTCAGGCTGAGTTCAAACTCATTCTTCTTTCAGATCTTTCTCAAAGGCCACTTCTACCATTAAACCTGGTTTAATCAAGGCTTGTAGAGATTGTTCAATGAAGATGGGTCTTGTGGTTCTACCTATCATCTGGAGATGATCCGGGGCAGAGAACAAGGCACAACCCTGTTATTTTCCAGCCTTTTTATTGGGGAAAATCTATGTAAGTAGTCCTCGACTTACAAGCACTATTGGGCCCCAAATTTGTGTTCTTAAGTGAGATAGTCATTAAGTGCGCTTTGCCCCATTTTATCACTTTTCTTTCCACAGTTAAGTGAATCACTGCAGTTGTTAAGTTAGTAACATGGTTATTAAGCGAATCTAGCTTCCTCATTGACTTTGCTTCTCAGAAGGTCAAAAAAAAAGATCATATGATCCTAGGACATTGCAACCATCATAAATAGGTAAGCTTTTGACTTAATCTGGATGCTCAGTAAAGGGGAGGAAAAAAATTTTCTCATTACTGAAGCCACAAAGGCAGCTGTTCCTCATAAAGCCCTCTGCTTGGAAGAAATGGACATCCTCTGAGGAAATTGCTTTCATTCAGAGGGCCTTGGGAAATTTCTGCAGGTAGAGGCTACCTTAGCAGGTCATAATCTTGGATTGAACACTGCCCCCTGCACTCACCTACCTCACAGGACTGTTGCAAAGAAAACTACAGCACCCTTTTTAATCCAATTCACACCCTTAAATTCTTGCAGGCAAGATGCAGTAAGAATAAGAGACATTTATTTAGCTCAAAAGCAAGCAGGAGTCTTGTCTACAGTGATCAATTAAGATTTCACTTCAATATGGAGGTAAATTTGCTGGATTTTCTTTAAAAGGGAACAGCCATTCATTCTTTCTATCCCAGCATTCCTTGGGGCAAACTGCATGATACTAAACGGGCCCTTTATCCAATTATATTTATAATTTCCTCCAACACCTCTATTCTCAAGGCTGCAACCAGATAAGAGGCTTCCCGATTTCAGCAGCAAGCCAGATTTTACCCCC